GAACCCGATGGACCGACGTACTACGGTGCAGTTAGAAGATCAGATGTGTTGGATACCGCTTTGCTCAGGGCAATACCGATGGCTGCCGACATGGCGACGAACCATGCTCCTATTCTCCTAACTCTAGGAGACGAGCGTCGCGGCGAGGACACCGTTGCCAAGCGGCGGACCGACTGGGGCCTATTCCGCGCAGAAATGCAACGAGTATGCGCACCCATTCCGGTCGTCCGCGACGCGGCGGACCTTGAGGCTACCCTCGCGAGCCTTGAGATGGATATCCACACCGCCTTGGAAGCCAGCACCACGGAGACGTCGCGACGGAGAGGAGGATAGAGAATTATGCAGGTGAGTTACCGTTTATGTTGCAGGACCTAATCGGGGAACGACGTGCGGCGAAAAGAGCCACGAGGACAGCACACCCCCGGGATAAGCAGACGTTAAACCAGCTGAACCGGAGGGTAAAAGCGATCCTAGAGGAGCATTACCAGGACTCGTGGCAACGACATCTGGAGACACTGAACCCCGAAAACCGCAGCCTGTGGACGATGCAACTGGCGCTGAGGACCACTCGGAAGCCTATGCCTCCGATTCACGGAGAGAACGGGATCGTCTACACCAGGTATGAAAAGGCCGAGGCATTCGCCGACAGCTTTGAATTACAGTGTAGGGAAAACCTTCTCGACGACGAAGACGAGGACCACGCCGACGAGGTGGAACGATGCGTACGGCGCTACAAACGCCAACCCGACAGGGACGACATCAGGCCGGCGACACCCGAGGAGGAGAGGGACATCTTGCGGCGGCTTAATCCCCGCAAGGCACCCGGTTGCAACCAGATCGGAGACCGAATACTCAGAAAGCTCCCCCACAAGGGAGTGCTGGCGCTGCTCAACATAGTCAACGTCATCCTGAGACTGCGAAGATTCCCCGCCAGGTGGAAGAAAGCCGACGTCATCTTCTTCCCGAAACCAGGTAAGAATCTAACCTTTGCTGCCAGTTACAGGCCCATCAGTCTCCTGCCGATGATGAGCAAGGTAGCGGAGGGGATCATCCTGACCAGACTGCGTGAGAGCTCGGACGAATTGCGAGTCATCCCCGACGAACAATTCCCTATACCGCAGCGGACACTCAACGGAGCAGCAGATTCTCAGGTTAGTAGAACATCTGTCTGCAGGTTTCAACAACCGAGAATCCACCGTGGCAGTCTTCCTGGACGTCGCCAAGGCCTTCGACAGGATCTGGAACGATGGGCTTCTGGCAAAGATGCTCGACTTTGCCTACTCTGTCGGACTGGTCAAACTGTCCTTCCTTCCTTTCTTAGAGGCAGAATGCAAGGAACTGCTATCACTGCACCTGTTCAACATCTATACATCCGACATGCCCAGGACAGAACGCACGACCGTGTGCCTCTATGCCGATGACACCGCCATAACGGCCCGTTCCCTGAACCCCGATATTGCGAAGAGGTACCTCCAAAGAGCTGTAAGCCAACTAGAGGACTGGTGCAATAGCTGGAAGGTGCGATCAACCCGGAGAAAAGCACAGGTATTATGTTTTCTCGTAGGTACCAAACGCGCCCCCAGGGACACGTGAAGTTCAACGGAGAAGACATCCAGTGGGCGACCACCGTCAAGTACCTAGGGATAACCCTGGATCGCACGCTGACGTGAAAGCCGCACGTCGACGCAGTGACGCGCAAAGCGAAGATGGTGAGGGCGAAGCTTTATCCGCTTTTGTGCAGAGACAGCCTTCTTTGCCTGCGGAATAAGCTAACCTTCATCAGAGCAGTACTGCGCCACAGCTAAGGAGAGAACGCATTAGGCGGTCGCGGTCCCGTCCCGTCGCTGTCCGTTCTGGGCTGAGCTGATCGCGGTCTTTTTTAGAAACGAACGCATTAGGCGTTCGCGGTCCCGTCCCGTCCCGTTGCATCGCGGTCTGTTCTGCCCTCAGTTTAAGGAATAAGCGAACGCTTATCAAGGTGGTACTTCAACCGCAGCTAACTTACGCCTCCACGGCGTGGGGTCACACGGCAAAAAGCCACTTAAAGTCATTACAGGCTGTGGAAAACACAGCCCTCCGCACGGCCACCGACGCGCCCTGGTACGTAAGAAACTCTGACATATTACGAGACTTACAATACACAAACGCTACACAGACAATAAGACAAAACGCGGAGAAACGGTTTGACGTAGCCGCGAGACATGACAATCCCCTCCTCAGGCAAGCCGTTGACTACGTACCCGACGTGACCGACAAACACAAAAGACCTAGACACCAACTTTTTGACCCTGGGTGACCACCCCAATGCCCCCCCCCCTGCCCGCTAACCTTTTCTGTTTCAGAGACAGCCAGGATCAAGAAACGAAGACAACGACACACACACACACACACACACATACACACCCCCCATACCCTCCTTACCCCTCCCCTCCCGCGCTAGCCTAAGGGCCACCTTAGCAAAGCGCATCCCAGGCTGCATAGCCGCACTACCCTACCCAACCATACCACACATAAACATGACACTACCCCCGGGGTTTACACAGACGAGCCGGCGAAGCAAGAAGAGCGCCAGAAGAAAGGGCCCTAGCCGGCGGGGCCCAGCCAGGACAAAAGGAGGTCCCACAAAGCGCCTACACCGGCCGCATTTGCGGTCGGGGTAGACGACGGATGGGGCCCACCTACGAAGGCTGTCCAGGCCTACACGAGATGAGGCAGGATAAAGAGGGATAATCCCCTTCGATCCCAAATCATTGAGGCCAATTTCTAGCCATGGAATAATGGCGGCGGTCTGTTCTGGGCTGACCTGATCGCGATCTTTATATTCCAAAATCTGTCACATTTGATAGTTGCAGTATTGTATTAGTAGTGAAAATAAGTTCTATGGAAGCGGTGTTTTTGTCAGCGGAAAAACATATTTAGGGGGTGAAATACACTTTCAAAATTCGCCCCCAAAAACAGTTTTTTCTAAATATCTGGGGTTCTAAGCAATATTTTGGAAAGAAGCAAAGTGGAAATTACTTCTTATAAAAAATAAATGTTTCACAAGTGATTCCCTGTTTGGGGATTGCTACTCTCATTTTTTATTTCAGAAAAACTGTAATTTTCAAACATTTTTTATATATAGGTACAAAATTTATATATGCTCAAAAAGAATTCAAAATATGATTTATGTAAACAAATTGACAAAATTAAATTGACCTGTTTCGGGGTTTTCGTTAAAATCTCTTTTTAGGGGGTGAACAACCCCCTAGTGCAAGAAATTATATACATTATAAAATAAAAAGTTTTTACTTTTTCTTTAATCATACCAATATTTTTTTCTATTAGCCTAAAATGGATATAAACGGATGCAAACTACCCCTCATGTTCACCCCCCAGTATTTTCGTGATATCTCGTGTTCTAATCAATATTTTGGGATGAAACAAAGTGGAAACTACTTCTTATAAAAAAGCAGATGTTTCACAAGTGATTCCCTTATTTTTTATTTCGGAAAAAATGTATTTTTCAAACAAAATGGAAATTATTTCTATTGAACAGAACGAATGATTCAAGAAATCTTGCGTGTAATTTGTTTTTTTAGTGAATATTTATGAAAATAAGAAATAAGTATAATTTTACCATCTACAAACCCGACCGCACACCAGGCTTGAAGCAACGATAGGTTGCTTGAAAATGACGATAAAATCGGCCAACGCCATCGTATTTGATATTGATTATACATTAAAAAAATGCTTGGTTTAAAATCCTAGCTGATCCTGTTTTGAAGATATCGATATTTTTCATTTTTCAACCATGCTGTAAAATTTTATTTAGCATAATTTAAATAAAAAGTCATTGATACATAAATAAAAATATTTGTTATTTGTGTGGATATATATATAATTTATATATATATTTTGTTCAACTACTCTCTTGGAGATCAGATACCATTTCCACACCATCAATGAGATAGATATCACGGGCGCGTTTTTTTTAAAGTGGTTTCTCCTGTAGACCTAATCCACTAGCTGAAACAAGAATAAGTTATCTTTTTTTATTTTATGTGTTGAGAAGAAAATGTGACTACCGCTTTCTTTAATCGGCTCGAATACGTTTCGTCATTAATCGCGTTTATTTTGAATATTTTCCAATATTTGAGAAATTCTCTATGGACCGATTCTCCAGCCTGTTCAGTCACCTTTTCGTCTACATCATTAAGGTCCTTAATGATATAGACGAAAAGGTGACTTGTTGTTTTGTAGAAAAATAAGATCTTATTTTTCTACAAAACAAGTGGACCTTAATGATATAGACGAAAAGGTGACTGAACTTTGCAAAGCTTTTCAAAGTACCGGAGTTTCTCAATCTTTAAAAATACATGTGATCCTCGATCATTTAAAACAGGGCCTTATACATTTGAATTGCGATGGTTTAGGATTGTGGTCTGAACAGGCTGGAGAATCGGTCCATAGAGAATTTCTCAAATATTGGGAAGGATTCAAAATAAACGCGATTGATGACGAAACGTATTCGAGCCGATTAAAGAAAGCGGTAGTCACATTTTCTTCTCAACACATATAAAATAAAAAAAGATATCTTATTCTTGTTTCAGCTAGTGGATTAGGTCTACAGGAGAAACCACTTTAAAAAAACATGTCGTGATATCTATCTCATTGACGGTGTGGAAATGGTACATATATACAGGGTGTCCGGTAAGTACCTCCTAATCTCTCGGGAGTGTATAGGGGAGGTCAAAAAAAACTAGTATATATATATATACAGGGTGTCTCACATTTAAATAGCAGGACTTCAGGAATCAGTAGAAGACCTCATTTTGAGTCTAAAAGTTCCTATATATATNTTGGTGTTTTATTTTTATTCTATCAAGAAAAAATGGTTAAGTACATGACAAAATACAGTATATAGAATAATATATATGAAATAGTTGGTACTGAAAAATAGGTTAGTTTATGTTAGAGTGTCTTTGGCACTGGGGGGGGGGCTGTCCAACGCTGGCTGCTCAGGTAGTCCGGCTGGCGGCTGGTTGACTTTGCTGGGGGTTGGCCGACGTCCCTGGCCTCTCGTGGGGACGTGGCTGCTGAGTCCTCTTAGTGGGCGGTGGAGAAATAGCGACCATCCTCACTGGACGTCGCTTGCGCCGTATGTCAAGGTGTCCGGAAAAATGCTGGGTCGGTCGTTTGGTTGGACCGCCTACAGCGGGTGGTGGCTGGCTCGGGGATTTGGTCTCTGCATGTGGCCTAGCATGGCTAGGGCCTGGTGTCGCCTCAGGGTAGGCTATCAGTGGACATGGAGGGCGGTCGTCGTCCAGACGTTGGACCCGTCCATGGTCCGTAGGTTGCCGTCCCGGTTGGCTGGTTGGTTTTATTAGTGGATAGTGGCTGGCTCGGGGGTTTGGATGTGGCCTAGCATGGCTAGGGCCTGGTGTCGCCTCAGGGTTGCTATCAGTGGACATGGAGGGCGGTCGTCGTCCAGACGTTGGACCCGTCTATGGTCCGTAGGTTGCCGTCCTACGGACCATGGACTGGTTGGCTTTATTAGCCGACCAGGGTGGAAACCGTCCTGGTCTTGGGCCTCGGTATAGGGTAGTCGTGACTCTGTTGGCCGGTCGAGGTGTGGACCGTCCTGGTCCTGGGCTCCGACTTGGGGTGCCGCTGGCTCTATTGGCCGGCCGGGGTGTAGGTCATCCAGACCTTGGTCCTCGGCTTCTGCGGCTTCCGGTGGTGGCATCTCTGACCTTCCAGGTAGACGGTCAGACGTGGCAGTTCGGCATTGGCTGGGACGACCTCAGTGGTAATGTTGTTGAGGTCGCCGACAAGGGCTTCGACATCCATGCTGTCGAAGGGGTTTGGTTCGATTGCCGAGAGAGGCGATTCAACAATCGGACCTGGATCTGGGAGGCTCACTGCCTCGGTGGCTGGGCTAGAGCCCTGGCTGAGGTCTGGCTCGGACCTGCAGCAGGTTGGTTTGGGGCCGGACTGGTGCTCGGTTGAGCTTGGATGGCTAGGGTCAAAGCCTGCAGAAGCTCGACGGTGCTTGGCGTAGAGCTCTGCGGTGTAGGAGGTCCAGGTTGGGACGGTGGTCCATGATGCTGGTAACCATGGAAGGACACCTCGCTGTCCAGCAGGGAAGGCCTCAAAGGCACTCGTGGTGGGGTACCAGGTAGGCACGATGATGGCTCCATGTCGGATGTTTTTAAAAAAATATAAATTTTTTTATTTTTATTTATTTTTTTTTTGTTGGATTTATTTTTATTTTATTTATTTTATTTTTATTTATTTTTTTTTATTTTAATATTTTTTTAATTATATTTTTTTTGTTGGATTTATTTTCAGACCTAGGGTGGACCTGGTGGACCTGGAGCGGACCTTGAGTACGCCTGGTGGAGGCTTGGTGGACCCTTGTGGACCTAGAGTGGACGTAGTAGACCTGGAGTAGGCCTAGCGTGGACGTAGTGGACCTGGTGGACCTGGATTGGACCTGGTGGAGGCCTAGTGGACCTGGACTAGGCCTGGTAGTCGTCGAAGATGCTTCGCTGGAATCGCACAGGCTCCCTTGCCTGTGTAGGTAACCTGGATATCGGTTACTCGAGCCTCACGCGTTGGGCGCCATGTCCACGAACGCGGTCGTTTGTGGACACGTTTTGGGGATAGCGACGTGGTTGGGGGGTATCCCTAAGAATCCCCAGGACACGCTGGATGCGTGCAGGAAGCGTTTCTGCACGGCCGCGGCTGCTTCTGCGGATGTCGGGTTCGGCTCGCATTGTGGAACGATAGGTGTGGGGTTCACCTTAATTAATAAGTAAAGGGCAACTTGTTAACGAATTCTTTTTTCCCTATTTTGTGGAATGGCAGACCAAGCCGTGCCACAAGCTGAGGGGAACAGCTTTAATATACCCCGAAGGGTCGCTGATACTCAGTACTACTACTATTTAAAAATTGGTAGCGATTACTCGTCATTAAAGGAGCGGACAATGAGAGGCTATTCGATTCAAACACAATAATACAAGTGTGAAGACCAACTCAGAGATGCTTCTCGTGTCAAGTCTCGACTGAGAGTGAGCTACCGAGGCAAAACTCGGCGGTTATTTAATGAATAGCGGTCGGACTGCGGACTGGACGTCGAGTGTGCCGTAGCCTGCCGTTCAAAAAGGTCCCTGGCAGGAAATCACGAGGCGCAATGTTGGATTTTTCTTGCGTCCCGTGACAGCACATTCTTTCTTATGGCAGCGCTCAGTTCGCCAGCACGCGACCGCAATTTTGTCGTTGGTCCAACTGCAAAAAGTGGCTCGTGTATGAGGGCTCTTAAGAGGGACATTTTAAAAATATTATGAAGTATATGGTGTGTCGCCGGAGCGCTGAAACGTATAAAAGGCGGGGGAGCTAGAGCTCCGCAGCTACGCGCTCGGCTCGTTCAAGTTCCAAGCGAGCAGCCGAACTGTGCGGACGTAGTTTGTGCAGTGCAGCAGTGTAATATTCTGCCTTTATTAAGGCAATCTACAGAAAGAATTTGGCAATTTTATATTGCAAAATTTCTACTAACGACCGACGTTATTCTCAGCCTAGGCAGAGAGACCGCCGGAATTTATTTTACAGATTCGGGTGCCGGAGAAGAGGGCACTATGTCTCGATCTCCGACACCAATGGAGAGCGACCGCCCGAGCGTAAGCGAGTCCGGCGACAGCAGGCCGAGCACCCCCGGGTCGATCGTAGAGACGATATCGAGCCGCTAAAAGAAGCTAGCAGTAGAGAATGCCAGACTCCAACGCAAGGCGTTCGACCTGGAGAAGCGGTTTCGGGAGCAGGACGAGGAGCTACTGAACACTCTCAGAGGGGAACAGATCCCCAAGGGCATCAAACGGTGCAAGCCAGGCACCACGTCTGGCTCAGAGGACGAGCCCAGCAAGGCAAAAAAGAAGCCGGCGAAAGTGACCGAAACACCTGCCGTCGAAAAAAGGGCCGAGACAGGGCCCCCATGCCCCTGGTCCTGGTCCAAGCCCCTCAAGATCAAGGGGACTTGCTCAAGGTAACTAGGTGCTGCCACCTGGTCGTCAGGGTGGAGGCGCAGCGCGCTAACGCGAACCCCACTCAGTGTCATCGCTGCCAGCGTTTTGGCCACGCTCAAAGCCGCTGTACAGCCGCAGCCAAATGCGTGAAGTGTGATGAGGGCCACCACTCCGTAGGCTGTAAAAAGACCAGGGAGACACCGGCAAAGTGTGCTAACTGCGGTGGTGAGCACCCTGCCAGCTACCGCGGCTGTCTAAAATTTCCTAAAAAGGTAACGAAAAAGACGATGGCAAGCCAGCAGCAGCACAAAATCGACAACGGAGCCACAACACAACAGGCAAAGTTTGCGTACCCCCCGAAGGTGACTGCAGCAAAGAGCTTCGGCACCCAAGGGGGGCCCCAAAACCGACAGGAGTGCGGAACTCGCAAATGTGGCCAGCATGCTGGCACAGATGCGGGAGATGTACTCCGCCATGTCTCCTTTTTTCAGTAAAATGCCATTTCTGTTACAGGAGTAAATGGACCCTCCGAGTGTGCAGTCCCTCAGAATTGCCTCCCGGAATGTCGACGGATTCCGGGGGCGAAAAATCGAACTCAAGGAGTTCTTGTCCCGTCTAGACGACATGATGGCGAAACAATATACCAAAGTAGAGGACGCACACACTGTTAGGATTCCTGGCTACCTAGTGTATCGCAGGGACCGAAATAGACACGGAGGAGGCGTGACCCTGCTCGTAAAAAGAGGTATAGATCACCATATGTTGCAGGTTTCTCAGCTAGAAAACATGGAAGCCGCCGCCGTATCGATCCGTACTCGCAGGTACGGAGACATCGCCGTGGTGACCTGTTATCAGCCCCCTCAGCTCCCGCTCACCGATTTACGCACGGTCCTGGAGACGTGGCCCCAAACCGTAGCCATCGGGGACTTTAACGCGAAATCGCCCGAATGGAACAGCACGACTACCACCACGCGTGGCAGGGTGGAGGGTGAACCACGAGGACGTTACAGCGTATGGACCCGATGGACCGACGTACTACGGTGCAGTTGGAAGACCAGACGTGTTGGATATCGCTTTGCTCAGGGCAATACCGATGGCCGCCGACCTAGCGACGCACAACGTGGTGGCGACGAACCATGCTCCTATTCTCGTAACTCTAGGAGACGAGCGTCGCGGCAAGTACACCGTTGCCAAGCAGCGGACCGACTGGGGCCTATTCCGCGCAGAAATGCAAATAATATGCGCACCCATTCCGGTCGTCCGCGACCCGGCGGACCTCGAGGCTGCCCTCGCGAACCTTGAGACGGATATCCACACCACCTTGGAAGCCAGCACCACGGAAACGACGGAGAGGAGGATAGCGAATTATGCAGGTGAGTTACCTATTATGTTGCAGGACCTAATCAAGGAAAGACGTGCAGCGAAAAAAAGAGCCACGATGACAGCACACCCCCGGGATAAGCAGACGTTAAACCAGCTGAACCGGAGGGTAAAAGCGGCCCTAGAGGAGCACTACCAGGACTCGTGGCAACGACATCTGGAGTCACTAAACCCCGAAGACCGCAGCCTGTGGACGATGCAACGGGCGCTGAGGACCACCCGGAAGCCTATGCCTCCGATTCACGGAGAGAACGGGATCGTCTACACTAGGTATGAAAAGGCCGAGGCATTCGCCGACAGCCTTGAATTACAGTGTAGGGAAAACCTTCTCGACGATGGACGCCCCCAGGGACACGTGAAGTTCAACGTAGAAGACATCCAGTGGGCGACCACCGTCAAGTCGCCCTGGAACGCACGCTGATGTGGAAGCCGCACGTCGACGCTGTGTCGCGCAAAGCGAAGATGGTGAGGGAGGAATAAGCTAACCCTCAACAGAGCAGTACTGCAGCCACAGCTAACGTACGCTGGAACCGCGTGGGGACACGCAGCGAAGACGCACCTAGCCCGGGTGCAAGCCGTCGAGAATATCGCCCTCCGTTGCGCGACGGGGGTTCCTTGGTTCATCCGCCACAGCGACATTCGCCGGGATCTGGGATTCACCTCAACCCTGGAAGCGATCAGAGAGCGCGCGAGAAAGCTTTTCGAGCGCGCCGAGATCCACAGCAACCCGCTGATCCGGAACGCGGTGGACTACCAACCCGAAGAGGCAGCCGACAGACGCAGGCGGCCTAGACATCAACTCCTGGACGCAGGGTGAGTTGACACACACACACACCTTCCTATCCCATTCTCCCCTTCCGCGCTAACCTAAGGGCCACCAAAAGCAAAGCGCTTCCAAAACCACCATACACGACACTCCCGTTGGGTTTACACAGACGAGCCGGCGAAGGAAGAAGAGCGCCAGAAGAAAGGGCCCTAGCCGACGGGGTCCAGCCAGAACAGGAGGAGGCCCCACGAACCGATCAAATCCGGCCGCGTTGGCGGTCCGGAATGACGGGGAAAGGGCCTAC